TCAATTACGGTTAGTCAGGCACGACTTCCCCTTCGTGAATCCATGCTGACTGTCCTGATCACTTCCTTTCTCTAAATGTTCAGTAATTGATTCCTTGAGACCTGCTCCATAATTTTTCCAGGGACTGAGGTGAGGCTGACTGGCCTGTAGTTCCCCGGATCCTCCTTCTCCCTTTTTTAAAGATGGGCACTACATTAGCCTTTTTCCAGTCATCCGGGACCTCCCCCGATCGCCATGAGTTTTCAAAAATAATGGCTAATGGCTCTGCAATCTCACCCGCCAACTCCTTTAGCACCCTCGGATGCAGCGCATCCGGCCCCATGGACTTGTGCACGTCCAGTTTTTCTAAATAGTCCCGAACCACTTCTTTCTCCACAGAGAAAGATATAGATATAGATATAGATATAGATACTGTGTATGTATATAATGTCTTTGGTCTGGCAAAACTTTTTTCCCTGGAACCTAACCCCCCCCCCATTTACATTAATTCTTATGGGGAAATTGGATTTGCTTAACATCATTTCACATAACGTATCTTGGGACAGCAGAACTGCCAGACACGCCCAACACTGAGGAGCTGCTGGGATTGCCACTGGCAGTGTGCACTGTGGGGAGACGGAGGAAGACCCCGGGGTCAGCTACACCCGGAGAGGAGGGGAGTGGAGTCAGTAGCCCAGGGGCAGCCGACTACTGTCCAGCTACGTTGCTGGCTGGCACTAGGTGAGTGTGTTGCGCCTGGATCCCTGCTGACCCAGTGGCAGACCGCTCTGCCGTTGTTAGAGCCCTGGGCTGGGACGCAGTGGAGTCGGGTGGGCACGTGTCACTCTGCCACCCTAACCCCGGGGTCAGCAGCCTTCCCACCTTAGGCCAGGAGGCCTGAGCAAGTCGATAGCCCCTGCCTGAGCCCTAGTCTGTTTGTTTGGAGCTCAACCGCTGCCTGAGCCCTAGACTGTTCCCTGCTCTACCCTGCCTGAGGGTTGGAGCCTTAGACTGCTAACTTCCCCCTGGCTTAGACTGTTCTTCCAGGAGCGTGTCAGCAAAGGTGCATGGCCTCCCTCAGAGACTGACACGGAGGAAAGGCCACACCCGCCTACACGCTCCCATTCTGAAAGGACACAGGGAGCCCAGGGCAGGGCTGAGCACCTGCAACCTTTACTCCACATTAACAAAGTTCTTGCATGCGAATTTCCATTTTTCTGGAGTAATGAGGAGGAGTGAGGGAGGCATGACTGAGGGCCAGCTGTAGGAGGAAGGGTGGTGCTCTGAGGAGGATTTGTTGGCACTTCTCAAACCCTCTCAGTTACCCGCTGGAGGCATCCCTGAGGGGGTAGAGAGAGAGCTGGACTGCTATACCCTAGCGGGGCCCAGCAGATCTGCGTATTTTATACTGACTCTTGGTGCCAGGCATTAGATGGCCTCAGACACAGTCCATCATTTATGTAAATATTTCCCATAGTTGTTAGTCTTGGTCTTGTTCCTAAAGGAGACAACTGAGGAGGGGATTTGAACTCATGGTCAACGAGGTGACAGAGTGGTGCTGATCTGAAGTCAATAGAAAGACTCCCATTCGCTTCAACAGGCTTTGGATCAGGCCCCGATTTCACAAGCACCAAAACCCAAGTTTCAGGTAAGTCAAAAGAAGTGTAACATTAAAAGCAGGTCAGACACCGTCAGGGTCACACTCAGCCACACACAGCACAGCTCTAGGGGGATAATAATTCAGCCCAACACCACCGTATACATTCCTGATTATCGCCTTGTCTGCACTAGCAAAATTGGTAGCCATACCCGCAAGCAATGCAATTCCACCAGAGATAGTAATGGTGGAGCAATTGAGGAGATGGGGTTCAGGTGGCTTTAATCACTGTATCATCTAGAGTTGCTCTGAGCAGCGTTAGACAACATATCAACAGCACTCTACACTACTGAAGATGACATCTGTTGGGAAAATAATACCACAGGGCACAGATTATCCAACAAATTCTGGGAATCTATTAGGGACAATTTTTATTCCAGAAGGTGGAGAAACTACTAGGGGAGAGGCTGTTCTAGATTTGATTTTGACAAATAGAGAGGAACTGCTTGAGAATTTGAAAGTGAAAGGCAGCTTGGGGGAAAGTGATCATGAAATCATAGAGTTCATGATTCCAAGGAATGGTAGGAGGGAGAACAGCACAATAAAGACAATGGATTTCAAGAAGGCAGACTTTAGCAAACTCTGGAAGTTGGTAGGTAAGATCGCATGGCAACAGGGCCGTCCCTAGGAGGATGTGGAGCCCGGGACAACCCGCCCTCCACCCAAGGTTCCACCCCACCCCTTCCTGCCCCCACCCCCATTCCACTCCTTCCCCCGCCCTGTCTCTTCCTGCCCCTGCTCTGCCCCGCCCCCATTCCACCCCTTCCCCCAAACCCCCACCCCCTCGTCTCCCGAGCGATGCTGGGAGCTGGCTAGGCGGAGCGAAGCGGGGCTGGTGGCGCTGCCACTCCCCATGCTGCCCAGGCCCCACAAGCCCTGAAGCTTGGGGCCCCCCAAAAGCATGGGGCCCGGGGCGACCACCCCAAACTGTCCAATGGATGGGACGGCTCTGCATAGGAAGCAAGTGTAAAGGGGAAGACAGTTTGAGAGAGTTGGAAATTATTCAAGGAAATATTATCAAGGGCACAAGTATAACCTATCCCACTGCATAGGAAAGACAGGAAGGATGGCAAGAGACCACATTGGCTTAACCAGGAGATCTTCAATGATCTGAAACTCAAGACTCCTACAAAAAGTGGAAACTAGGTCAAATTACAAAGGATAACTATAAACAAACACCACAAGCAGGTAGGGACAAAATCAGAAAAGCCAAGGCCCAAAATGAGATTAAATTAGCTAGAGACATAAAGGGTAACAAAAAGTCATTCTATAAATACATCAAAAGCAAGGAGAGGCTAGGCCAGTTACTCAAGGAGGAGGGAAAGACAATAACAGAAAATGTGGAAATGGCAGAAGTGCTAAATGACTTTTCTGTTTCAGTTTTCACCAAAAAGTTTCATAGGGATTGGACATCTAACGTAGTGAATGCCAATGAAAAAGAGGTAGAACCTGGGGCTAAGATAGGAAAGAACAAGTTAAACATGATTTAGACAAGTTAGATGTCTTCCCGTTGCCAGGACCTGATGAAATACACCCCAGAACACTCAAGGAGCAAACTGTGGAGATATCTGAGCCATTAGCGATTATCTTCTAAAAGTCATGGAAGACGGGAGATTCCAGAGGACTGTAAGAGGGCAAATATAGTGCCAGTCTATAGAAGAGAGGATAAGGACAACCTGGGGAATTACAGACCTGTCAGCTTCACTTCAGTACCCAGAAAAATAATGGAACAAATCATTAAGCAATCAGTTTGCAAACACCTAGAAGATAATAAGGTGATAAGTAACAGTCAGCATGGATTTCTCAAGATCAAATTGAGTCAAACCAACCTGATAGCTTTCTTTGACAGGAAAACAAGCCTTGTGGATGGGGGAGAAGCAGTAGATGTGGTATATCTTCACTTTAGTATGGCCTTGTCTACACTGGCACTTTAAAGCGCTGAAATTTTCTTGCTCAGGGGTGGGAACCCCCCCGAATGATGCAAGTTTCAGCTCTCTAAAGTGCCAGTGTAGTCGCTGCACCAGCGCTGGCAGCTGCATCCCAGTGCTGGTAGCTACGTCCCTCGTGGGGGTGACTTTTTTAGAGCGCTGGGAGAGCTCTCTCCTAGCGCTGGTGCCGCGATTACACGCTGGTGCCGTGGCAGTGCTTTAACATTGGTAATGTAGACAAAGCCTAAGACTTTTGATACTGTCTCACATGACCGTCTCATAAACTAGGGAAATCAGCCTAGGTGGAGCTACTATAAGGTGGTTACAGAACTGGTTGGAAAACCGCTCCCAGAGAGTCATTATCAGTGGTTCAGTGTCCGACTGGAAGGGCATAGTGGGGTCCCACAGAGATCTGTTCTGTGTCCACTTCTATTTAATATCTTTATCTATGAGTTAGATCGTGGAATAAAGAGTACGCTTATAAAGTTTGTGGCGATACTATGCAAGAAGGGGTTGCAAGTGCTTTGGAGGACAGGATTCTAATTCCAAATGATCTGGACAAACAGGAGAAAAGGTCTGACGTAAATAGGATGAAATTCAATAAGGACAAATGCAAAGTACTCCACTTAGGAAGGAACAATCAGATGCACACATACAAAATGGGAAATGACTGCCTAGGAAGGAGTACTGCAGAAAGGGATCTGGGGGACACAGTGGACCACAAGCTAAATATGAGTCAACAGTGTAACACTGTTGCTAAGAAAGCACACATCCTTCTGGGGTATATCAGCAGGAGTGTGGAAAGCAAGACACGAGAAGTAATTAGTTCACTCTACTCTGCGCTGATAAGGCCTTAGCTGGAGTATTGTGTCCAGTTCGGGGCATCACATTTCAGGAAGGATAGTGACAAATTGGAGAAAGTCCAGAGAAGAGCAACAAAAATTATTAACAGTCTACAAAACATGAGCTATGAGGGAAGATTGAAAGAATTGGGTTTGTTTAGTCTGCAGAAGAGAAGACTGAGAGGAGACATGATAACAGTTTTCAAGTGCATAAAAGGTTGTTACAAGGAGGAGGGAGAAAAATTGTTTTCGTCAACCTCTGAGGACAGGACAAGAAGCAATGGGCTTAAATTGCAGCAAGGGATGTTTAGGTTGGACATCAGGAAAAACTTCCTGTCAGGGTGGTTAAGCACAGGAACAAATTGCCTAGGGAGGTTGTGGAATCTCCATCACTGGAGGTTTTTAAGAGCAGGTTAGACAAACACCTGTCAGGGATGGTCTAGAGATGAAACTTAGTCCTGCCCTGAGTGCAGGGGACTAGACTAGAAGACCTCTCGAGGCGCCTTCCAGTCCTACGATTCTATGAGTCTATGGTACTAGAGCAATAGTTGGAGATTTCCGTAAAATTCTCAGTGTAGACAAGGCCTATGAATGGGAGCGAGGATCTCCTATCACTGCCTCTAGGCTAAAATCCACAAGCAAATATTGATGGTTGTTCAGAGATGGCCACTTGAAAAGAGGGGATGAGTCTCTTGTCACTTACCCTGAGCTACAGTGTAGCCGTCTCCCTTCCTCCCTACAGAGAAAAGGCAAATTTCAGTGAATGCAGCTCCCAAGGTAGGAACCAACTCCAGTCAATGTCCGCAGCTCAGAAACGTGGTTCCTGGCCCAGCACAGCCCCCTGGCGCTCAGTAATGGACTCAAGGTCGAGGAGCTCATGATCGGCAGGTGAGAAAGACACAATGAGACAGAGTTTCCAAAGATCTCAGCCCACTGGCTGCTGAGCTCTTCAGAAAACCTAGCCTCATATAAATTGTAACCCGCACCCAATTTCTGGGTCTGGCCCTCCAGCAGCTCCCATTGGGTGTCATTACCTCAGTCGGGCAGTTACACAGTACTGACACTGGTTCCTGTACTGCTGTTGTCCTTAGGGGTATGTGCAGGGCCCAGCAAGTCCAGGGAACCCCCCCATCCCAGGTTCTTTACCTGGCGTTTCTTTTTCCAGATGACTACTCCAATTATAACACCAATCAGGACAACTGCAGTGATAACTCCAGCCACAATGTAAATCAGATTGTTATTTGGTTCTGAAATGAATGGAGAGAATGATCAATGAGAAAAAATCCCCCCCTCCCCCACTTAAACCCCCCTTTCATCCCACTGCAGGGATCAGTCAATCAGCTCCCCAGGTTAGGGCTGAGTCCTGCAACCCTCCACCCCTTCCAGTGAGCTCCACGCAGCCACCATGCACTACATCCCACCATAGAAAGTCCTGGACACAGCCTCTACCAGTTCAATTCATAATATATATGTCGCACTTAAAATAGAAGACTTTTATAACATTAATCAATCCTCATAAACCTGTGTGGGGGAGGACGGATGTCAGTATCATCCCTAAATTGGAGGGAGAAAAGACTTGCTGAAGGTCACACAGAGTCAGTGCAAGAGCCAAGAATTGAACCCAGGAGTCCTGGCTCCCAGTCCCTAACCCCCCCTTGACAACGCTGACTTTCATGACTAATAGAACACACTCCCATTGTGGGATTCTGGTGACAAACTGGAAACTGACCTCAAAGCTCTGGATTTCCCTGTCATGAATGACAGGTTTCAGAGTAGCAGCCGTGTTAGTCTGTATCCGCAAAAAGAAGAACAGGAGTACTTGTGGCACCTTAGAGACTAACAAATTTATTAGAGCATAAGCTTTCGTGGACTACAGTCCACGAAAGCTTATGCTC